GGTGGTTGGCTATGGTGGATGGGTGCAGGTGAAGGTGGAGGAAGAAGGTGCAAGGTGGTTGGCTATGGTGGATGGGTGTAGGTGAAGGTGGAGGAGGAAGGTGCAAGGCGGTCTTAGCTCCGTGCCGCCTCCTAGCCCAAGTGTCCGGGTCCGTTGTCCACCGTATTCCCTAGTCCCGAAGGCAAAACCCAGCTCCACAGCACAGAACCTACAGCTAACATGCAGAAAAACACATATTTGCTGCAGACACACTTGGATGAGAAATCGCAGAATTTGCAGATTTGTCGGAAACGGTAACTTACCGTTTTCGTTTTTTTGCCGAAGGTGAAAAATTGGGATACACAGGCCTGTGTTTCCTACCCCAGATGACATCAGAATCACTCCAAATTTAGTGGGCCCTTTCAATATGTCACAGGGAAGGCCTCTGCAAAATTTCATGGGATTCTGACGCCGTTTGGGCGTAGTTGCCTGTTTCGGGCGCCGCCCGGTCTGAAGGTGAACAGTTCCAGGGAAGTCCGTTTGCTGATTTTTCAGCAAAACGGACTCTGATGGCCTCCTGGGTCTGCAGACCATTTGTTTATGTATAGAATATCAGGTCTGAGAAGTCTCAGTCCTCATATCCTTGTCTCAGCGAGGTTGTCACTGTCGTGCCACCGGGCCGCATTGACCCGTTTTTCCGTATTCCGGGCGGTCTTGTGCCGTTGACTGAACACCTACCCTTCCCTAGTGGCAGCAGCCCGTGCTGACCAGATCTCAGCAGCAGTCACAATCCTACAGCTACTCAGTAAAAAAAAAAACACAGCAAAAGCTTAAACTGTTGAAAATCAGCAGCCTACCAACCTCCCCAATTACCGCGTTCGAATAGAACAGGGGGGGGGGGGTGAAATCATGCGGTATCTAGTCTAGAGCCCGAGGGGAAAGACAACGTTTTACCTGGGAATGGAAAAAACAGACAATGCAAACACTCTATACTACCCAAACACTAGATTACACCAAGATTGAAGTTGCGGTTCACACCCAAGTGAAGAAACAAGTGAAACATGGAGAGAGGGAGAAAAAAACACACATTTGAGCTCACACACACAGGAGGGAAAGTTGCGATTCACATGGGAGTGGAAGAATGGACAAAACAAGCACTCTACACTACTCAAACACTAGATTATACCAAGATTAAAGTTGCGATTCACACCCAAGTGAAGAAACAAGTGAAACATGGAGAGAGGGAGAGAAAAACACACATTTGAGCTCACACACAGAAGGAGGAAAGTTTCAATTCACATGGGAGTGGAAGAATGGACAAAACAAGCACTCTACACTACTCAAACACCAGATTATACCAAGATTGAAGTTGCGATTTTCTCCATAGTGAAGAAACAAGTGAAACATAGAGAAAGGAGGAGAATGGCACAAAAAGTCAATCCAATCTCAGTCACACACACAAAGAGGAATGTTGCGATTCACATCGGAGTGGAAGAATGGACAAAACAAGCACTCTACACTACTCAAACACTAGAGTATACCAAGATTGAAGTTGCGATTTACTCCATAGTGAAGATTGAGGGAGAGAGAGGAGAGAAAGTGAGTAAAACTCACTTTTGGACTCACACACACACAAAGGGAAAGTTGCGATTTACATAGGAGTGGAAAAATAAACAATACATGAGCACAACAACACAAAAACACTAGATTGAACCAAGATTGAGCTTGCGATTTACCCCATAGTGAAGATTGAGGGAGAGAGATGAGAGAAAGTGAGTAAAACTCACTTTTGGACTCTCACACATACAAGGGAAAATTGCGATTTACATAGGAGTGGAAAAATAGACAATGCATGAGCACAACAACACAAAAAGATTAGATTGAACCAAGATTGAGGTTGCGATTTACCCCATAGTGAAGATTGAGGGGGAGAGAGGAGAAAAAGTGAGTAAAACTCACTTTTGGACTCACACACACATAAGGGAAAGCTGCGATTTACATAGGAGTGGAAAAATAGACAATACATGAGAACAACAACACAAAAACACTAGATTGAACCAAGATTGAGTTTGCGATTTACCCCATAGTGAAGATTGAGGGAGAGAGAGGAGAGAAAGTGAGTAAANCACACACAAGGGAAAGTTGCGATTTACGTAGGAGTGGAAAAATAGACAATACATGAACACAACAACACAAAAACACTAGATTGAACCAAGATTGAACTTGCGATTTACCCCCTAGTGAAGAAGGAGACTAACCAAGCACTAATCAACACCAAAACATCGAGATAATAAAGGAGGGGAGAAAAAAGAAAAAGAGGGGGAAGAGAAAGAGGGAGAGGAAGAAGAGGGAGAGAAAGGAGAGGGGGAGGAGGAAGAAGATGAAGAAGAAGAAGGAGAGGAAGAAGAAGAAGGAGGAGAAAAAAAAGAAGAAGAAGAAGGAGAAGAAGATGAAGAAGAAGAAGAAGGTGTTTCTTTTCACTCATCTCTTCTTGGTCTTGGAGTTGATATCCCAACCTTTGATGAAACTTCTCCTCACTTAGCTATGGCTTCCTCCTTCTCCAAGCCCTTCTCCTTCCTCCTCTCTCCTCCCCGCGAGTTGCCCCAAGCTCCTACCACTATGGCTATGGAGTCCTTCCCTCTAGGAGGGCTAATGGGACACCTTCTAGCCTTGCCTTCTTCCACTCTAGCCTGGGAGCTAAGGCGGATCACCTCCCTCCACTACCACCAGCCTGTAGAGTCCTTCCCACTAGCTCACAGTCACCTCTAAGCTCCCACACTGGCAGGGGTTCCCCTCACTTCACTCCAAGTGAGTGTAGTGCTCTCATGGGCACAATTGGGCAGCATGGGCACTCCTCATGCAAATGGGAGTGTGGCGGACTGAATTCCCAGCTTATGTAGGCTGGGAAAAGCAGTCCGGCCAGCCCATGGGCCTCTCCAAGTGCCCCATAGTGAACCGAGGTACCCCCATGGCCAATGTTCACCACTAGACCTCTCCGGGCGCACCTGAGCCTCATTTTGGCCAGGTTCATGCAGTCCGAGTGGTTGGTACCAACTCGTACTGCCCCTTGGGCCTTTTTCCAGCCTCACACCACTTGGAAAATGTTGCCCCCTTGAGTCCAAGGCCCAAGGGGTAGCCTATTTAAGAGAAAAAGGCCTAATGGGTTTTTTTCTCGATTTTTTTCAAGTTTCGGCCTCCCTTGGGTAGGCCAGAGCATTTTTCCATGTGGCGGCACATTTTCAGCCTTGGATCAGGCTGAGATCCAAGGCCACCATTATTTCGGGCTACCCCATGGTGGTCCTTGCTTCAAATTTGAGCCCATATGCTCAATTTTTCAATTTTTGATGCATCTGGCTCTCTTTTTGGGCCAAATGCGCTGTTCTGTCTTTTTCCCTCTTTTGTTTTCTTTCCATTTTGGGCTGCCACCTCATTCCGGAGCTAGCCGTTTTGAGCTGGCCCACCACAAACGGTTGTTTCCTCTCCACCATGAGATCTGATCTCAGATCCATGGCCCAAAAGAAAACCGGCCTTTTTCTTTTTGCCTTTTCTTTCATTTTGTCTTTTTTAATTCAGATATTGTGGAGATATGGCCCCAAGGGCCATATCTCAACAATCCGGCCTACCCTCCTTCAATCTAGGAGGGATGAGGTCATCATTGGGACCTGCCAGTCCCTACTGCAGCAGTCCCAATAGACCGGCATATTTTCCTCCACTCATTTCTTCAGTTTTGTCTCATTCTTCCTCCATTTTCTCTCCTTTTTCTTTTCTTTTTCTTTTCTTTTTGTTGTGACAAGTGTCAAACTGCTGTGCTCTCTTTTTCTAGGCCTTAGAACCTTATTCATGGCCAGGTTCATAACCGGTTGTTGGCCGTTATATCCCGGATTACAATGGTGCCACCCCCAAGCTCCTAGGGGGCTCCATTTTGTCTCCTTTTGTCCGATTTTGAGCCCCCTTGGCTCCGATTTTCCTTGGCCAGCCGTTTTCTTGCATGGAACCCCTTGGGGTCTTATTTTCTCATGCCTAGCTAGTCCGAGATATCTCGGACTGCTGAGCAGCCCTCCCTTCACTCATTTTTCTTTGTTTCCATTCCCGTTTCGCCCGTTTGAGCTCCACTAGTATTTGCACTAGTGGTGCTAATTTTTTCCACCGTCGAGATCTTCGATCTTGGCGATGCCGTTTGCCTTGCACGGCCACTCCCTACATTGGCTAATGGTTTTCCCTTGGGACACCTCAAGTCCCCGCCGCTTCCTCATGCTAGTTCCATTTTTCCGTCCCACCGGCGACGTCGTCGACAAGGCCCAATTTTCTTACAATTTTTATTTGGGCCCATTTGGTCCCCGGCGTCATCCCGGTCGATGCCCAATTTTTATTTGGGACTCCCCATGTCCCCGACAGTCCTATTTCCTCATTCCCGTGTGCCTCAAGCTTGTCGATTATTTTCCCGGCTGCGGGACCCCCGCTTTGCCGTCACCATCTGCCGTTATACTCCCTTACGCCTATGGTGCCATTTTCTAGCATTTTGGGCATGCCGCAACTTATTTTTCTTTGGCCTAGGCATCCCTATGCAGTCCGTTATTCCTCAGGCTGCAGTCACAGCCTACTCTATAGTCCTACAACCCCACAACATGCCCCATGCTAAAAGAAAATGCAGCGTTAAATTTCTAGGTGTTTCTGGGCTCAATTTTGGCTCCCGGAGCACTCAAATCATGTGTTTGCCCCTCCCCATGCAGCCCGCTGCAACTCGGACTGCAGTAGGGGCTATTTTCTTTCTCCCAATGCCCCATAACTAGCCCCTAACTAAAAGAAAAAGGAGCGGCCAACTCCCAAGTGCAACCGGTCTCCATTTTGGCTTCCGGTGCACCCAAAACATGTGTTTGGCCTCCCCTAGGTGATGCCTTATTTTTCGGTTGCAAGAGGCCTTGATTTTCTTTGATTTTCTCTGCATAAATCAAAGAAAATCAAAGT